CTAGAAATCATTTTAATCAACTTGTCCAAAGTATCTCCAAATGAAGTATACATACATTTACACAATCTATACATAATTTTCTTTGTACTCCAACATGAAACATACTGATGGCCTCTAAATTCATTTAATGCAACAAAAAATGCTGGAGGAAAAAGTGCCACCAAATTTCTCGGACCTTCCAACAATATGCAACTTGCCTACAGTGTACTTCGTTGTGGAGGTCGTTCCAATGCAATTGCGACTCGAAGCTTATTCTGGGAAGTCTTCATGATATATATCGCCAAATGAAATAACAATTCTAGTTGCTAAATCGTGTTCATGAGGATCACATAGTTAAATTTCCTTTAAAATATACATCATATACTTACTTCATTTTCTTAATAATCAGGATCAGGCTCCTGCAAAAGAAATTGGGTCACATTTAATTTTTTTAAAATTTTTTTTGCAACTATATTTCAATTGATTTGAGGACATTTTTATCATGCTCCATTGGCATAAAATATTTATCAACAAACTCACTTTAAGATATAATTTGATGCTTCCGAAAAATTCAAATCAATAACAACTTACATCGTTTCTGTCTCTCCTGACGTCGATCCGAATTTGTTCATGTGTTTGATTTGTTCTATAATATTCCTACAATAAATTATATATATTTGTGTTGAAAAGGAATATCTAGCATTTTTAGAAGAGCATTTAAAAATATATTTTTTATGATATAAAACACAAAATAATAGTGCCTTTCACTAATTTAACAATATTCAAATGTCAATGGGTACATGAATAATTCGTAATTTTTACTCACTTTCGTTTGTAATTTGTTAATTAATAAAAAAAACAAACTAAGAACTGCTCATATGTTTTCTTAATTTTTTTCCTTCTGTTTAACAAGAACAAAAATCACTTACCTTGGCCCCAGGATAATCCGGATCTGGAGTATAAGGCTCGAACTTATTCTAAAAAATAAAAAGAAGTACTTTATATTATTCCAGTTTACTTCATTATCTTTTTCTAAAAGCAATTGTAAATGGGGATGATCTTGAAATTCAAAATGAAATAGATTAAGATATAATGACAGTGATCGATATCCTTTATAAAAATGCCTATTTGTGAAAAGGGAATAGAAATAAGTCCCCTAGTAAATCACGAGATGGGCTATCAGTTGCCACAAAGGAGTAAGCATTCTTTTCGACGTCATATCTGAGCTATTTGTAATATTCAGATAAACTGAAAAATCGTAGAACAAAATAGACTGGAATATAAAACAGGTGTGTAAGACTCTGTGAACTATTACAGTTCTAGTTCAAAGGACTACATCAAATGGAAATGAATATTTTAAATTAATGATAAATATCTAACTGAAGGATATGGAAAGATACTTCTTAAATCATGTAAAATAAGTTTAATAACATATCTTTCAATTACAAATACTCTTTCTTAACGAGAGAGAGAGAGAGAGAGGTTTTTGGGGTTTTCAAACATTGAGTATTTACTTACATAAGGTGTTTTTAATCTTGAATGTGATGAGACCGCTTGCTAACAGAGAAGAAATCAAAAATAAGAGATATAATTATTTGTAATAAAACATCATAGTTATAAAGCAAACATAGTTATAAAGCAAAATTTTAAAACTTTTATGTGCAGGGTCTTTATTTTCATATATTTTTCGTTAAATAGATATATACAATGTGCATGCATACCTTTTCACCATAGGTCTTATGTGTTGGTACACGAGGTGCTTCAGGGACACTGTTAACGTCTCTTTTCTATAAAAATTATATCATTCATATTGATTAAAAAGAATTCTGTCAACTTATATCTTGAATAAATAGAGGATATTTATTTCACGAGTGGGACAGGATTTTTGATATTTTCACGAGTGCGAAGCACGAGTGAAAATATAAAAAAAAAAATCCTGTCTCACGAGTGAAATAAATTCCATATTCAACTACAAAACATTGAATGTTCTGTTTATTACATTTTATAAAAAAAATTGTTTGATTTTTCCTTTGCCTCTGTCTCTTTGTAATACAGTCATAGGCTCGTGACGTCACAGTTGAGCGGTTGCGACGTCATAGTTATGTGAAGTGAAAACACTGTAAACATGGATTTAGAAACATATTTTTGTTAAGGTCAAGATCTAGTAAATGAAAGGTGCCTACAGATTTATCAAATTTGAGAAATAAATTCCTTTATTGATGCTTTACAATTTTAGCTTGGTTAAAGAAGGTGTTTCGGGGCATAATTTGTAAGTAAACAAGATGAAAAACTGTATTTTAAACTGTAATTTTCAATGAAAAATTAAGAAAACCATTCATGAATATGGGAGTTTTTTTCATTTTCGACAAAGGAAATGTATCCGTATTGCCTACAGTCTCTCAGATAACGGTAATTTGTATGTTCAAGGCCTCTTCTTTAAATCAATATCAAATTTAATATAGGTATCCGGCTTACTTTTCATATGATTTCAAATTGAATGTCATAAAAATACCCTATTTTCTACATAATTCTGCTAAAGCTGTAAAGTACGGGAAAAAGAAAGTTGAAATTGATTATGACGTCATAATGGATCTAGCACCAAAAAATTAGTCTAAAGTTGTTTACTAGATCTTGACCTTAATTTTGACAATTTTATTCGCTGTCAAAATAGTTTATTTATTTCCATATATCTTCTATTAGGTCAAGGAAGATTTTTTTTACAGCAATCTTCGTTATGGGAAGGGAAATCGAGAGTTTCCCCGCACTTCTGATATTCGTCACACTGTGACAGGATATCATTTTTATTAAATGAATGAATTACAGTATTTCACGGGTAAAAATGTAATAAACACTATGATATGTATTTATGGTTTGTAAAACGAAGTTAGAATGAACCCCTTTTCCCACCTCTAAAACAATCAAATAGCTTTTCAAATTACAGTACTCAAATATCAGAGCTTCAAAAGCACCAAATCGCCATTTAATTCTGTAATGCAGTATTTATAAGATCAGATTATGATATTTAAATTTAACGGTATTTTTATTTTTAAAAATCCTTTGTATAAAAATGTTTTAAAGCAAAGGTTACGATCTGATAAAAACGTTTTTTGATTTCACAGTCATCAAATATCTACGATATCTATAAAAAGATTGTAAAACAGATAGATTGCAAGGGCAACAATATGTAGTATCCAACCATGGATAGTCAAGCTTTTCTAACTCATCGCATGGTCAAAGTTTTATTATTCTGTTGTCCACGAAGTAATTTTGGCCCTTTAGATTTGATTTTTAAGTTAAAATTAATCCTTGATAGGAAAGATTCCAAACTTTAAACATATTGAGGTATAGAATCATTCCCATCAAGGCATTCAGAGTAAGAACCCGGACTCGATATATCAATGAAAAAAGCAAAGATAAAGAACAGTGATCGATATCAAAAATATCTACAAACAATACGAATCTTTGAACTGGACATAAACACAGACCGTCGGAGAATCTGAGGTGGGATCAGGTGCATATGAGGAGTAAATACCATTTCCTGGCCTTCCACATCCTCTGTGAGCCCTATGTATCAATCAACCCGATACCGTAGTCAAATTTTGTATAAAATAAGGGTTTGAACTAGTTTGAAATATGTCAGCCAGATAGCAACTCATTGTTAGGTAAAACTTGCTATCAATGTCTATAACGACCACATACAAATGAACAGATATACATTGTAAAACAGTGTCCCTAAATCCAATCAGAGTGGACATAAAAGTACTAGAGAATATTTTAAAATCCTTCACAACAAGGTTATATTATAATCATACAATATGTTTATAAAAGAATTCTGTGGAAAAATATAACTTGATAACTTGAAAACACGAAGTTGCCCAATGTAGAATGTATTCATCGAAAGAAGTACATTTATGAATTAAATCTTATCAAATCATAAACTTGTGTACATACCTCTTCTTCTCTGTCAATTCTACATTTCACAACTTTTTTCAGTTCAGGCAAAAAGGCATATGTTTTCTAGAAAAGATATAACGTTGAGAAAAACAAAGCTGAGAGTTTTTTTATAGTTCAAATGCATGCTGCATTTCAACGTTTAGTTGTCCAAACAAAAACTATGCTCTATCTTATTCCAATCCAGCTTTGAGTAACCCTAAGTAATTATAATTCCACACCAATAGAGTTTTTCAAAAATCTCAGACAGCGACTGAAATAGATATGATTGTTTTTTTTTTTCACTCTGTTTCTTTTTACAATTTGTGTATGTAAAAGATTTTTCTCTCTAAAGTCGAAAGATTTTTTAAAATCAGAATATATGTTTTTTAACCGAAAATCAATTGTTGATTTTGTATCTTTAAAAGGTATTATATCTATTAAGAAATCGAGACAATGTCTTGAAGACAACAAAATTTTAGGTGTAATTGTTTTGTTCCCTTTGGCTTGCTTGAACTGTATGACTAAACAATTTTTACTTACACTCATAGTTGAAGATCCAGCAGATAAATAGCTTTGAAGACAACCTGTAAAATTAAGAAATTCTGTTGATTCATTAATTTAATAAAAACATCGATGTCTTTTTTATCTTCGTTTTTTTCTCTTTTAATTCTTATTCGTTGCATATATGATTGAAATAATAGTAGTATTTACAACTTTCTTCAGGTCATGCAATCTGTTAGGTGTGTCATCGAGGCAATAATCAGGTAACTATGATTTTCCTCCGAGAGGTCTCATCTGCCTAGTTCACGTTCTCACCTATTTGTAATAAGCCATCAGAATCATTTAGAGAGAGACAAAAAGTTATTTTTCTTAGAAAATTGGCGACAAAAAAATTGAAACTCAGATCCCTCTAGTGTTCAATCAAGTCTTCAAAGAAATTGTCACAGAAAGAAACAAGAACTGTTCATACGAAATCTACTTGAGTAAGAATGAATCAGAGCAAACAAATGAAGATATTACGAAAGAGAAGGTATTTCGATCAGAATTATTTTTATTTGCACATGGTGTAATGCTTTTCATATCAGGTATTCAATTTAAATTTACACTATCAAGGTCTTTTTATTGAGAATATGCCTCGCTGCACTTGAAGGACAATCGCTTATGTAATAGAATTTTTAAAATGCCATCTTAGATATATCGTGACTCTCAACTTTGAATTGGTCGTTTACATTGTAAGCCTAACGATGGTAAAGTAATTAAAAGACATAACTCTTGCAATTGCGAATTTCTTTTTTTAAAAAGCATCAATATGACAATAGATACAGTATACACGTATATGTATAAAAGGAATATTATCTGTTGTAGTTTGAAGCCTCCCTTTCCCTAGATTTGGAGATTACAAAGTGAAAAAAGTACTTCCTACAGAATAAAAATATACCGAAAACTTTAATTTTCTTTTACTTTCAAACTCAAAAATCAATATATTTTTAGAATAAATCGATTTAGAAGTTGGTGCATGTAACACTTCAAGATAAAATACTTATAACGCTACGGTAGTAATGAACATAAATTAGCATGTATGAACAAGCAATGGATTGATTACTCGTTATTCTGTGTCTTTTGAGGCATTTTGCAAAAGAAAAACATTTTTGACTCCAACAATCAACTTTAGAGTAAGAAAACAGTCTTTCTTTTTCTCATATCAATTTCATTGTTAATTCAAAACATATAAATCTTAATAGATGCTGAAAAAAAATTAAAATTATTAAGGCTCCTATCTTTTATTTCCTTCACAGAACAGAAATTTTATGAAAAATTATACTTACTTCCTTGTCTAGGATATGTACACCAGTAAACAAACAATACCGTCGTCTATTCCCGAGAGAGAGAGAAATATTGAATGCAATATTTAAATAGACATGCATTTGTGTCTTTGAATCGGAATTTAAAAAAACGATGCAAAGGTGAACTACAGGGTTACTTTGTATCGTCTTTTCACATTTTCTTTTACGCCAAAAACATGTTACACTGTTACACTTTTGCAAATATATCCTGCTGTTGATATTATGTGTCAGATATCTTGAGTTAAATCATGGTTAAATTCCTATCGCATACAGATCTGGGTGGATTTGACTGCATATCTGTTTCGTGCAAATGTATAGTTTTACTTGTAAAAATATAATTGTATCATGATTTTTTCTTCTTCTTATGATACGGAGAGAGTAGTTCCTTAAGACGAGATTACGAGTCTTCAGATGTGATTATTATTATTATTATTTTTTTTACTGAATTGATATTTAAATATTTCTTTCAGAAGATACAAAGGCAAGAAGCACACATTTCAATTCCTTTCATATTATTCTTCAAAAATATTTTAGGTCGAATGCATTCATTACTCTCAAATTGTACATACACTTGATTTGGACAATGAATGTAATCTACACCATCTATTCATTGACCCCATCAATGACTACACACTAGAACAGGGGAACATAATTAGAATATATACTTCTATTATATAATTCTATTATTTAATTATATTATAAGGTACATGATCATTATTTTGTAAACGCTTGCCTTGTTAATATTGAAAAGCCAACAACACTTTTTTTTAAATAAAATATATTTTGAACCTATATTGGACTTATTCTTCTGTTGAAACCATTAAGATGACTACAATTTGACTGACTTATGAAAAAAACAAAAATGCTCAGTAAAGGCTGAAAAAAAAGGAATCTGACACACTCACATGTATCAAATTCGTACTATGTGACTATTTTCAAATTAAAATTGTTTCCTTTCCATATTTGGATCCACATGCTCTAAGGTTTTGATTTACTTCGGAAGTATGTTCTACGTCATTTTTTTCTCCAAAAATTTTCTAGCTATAGAGGCGATAGATTTCGTCAATAAGCGAGACTATACCTTATTTTTAAATTTGATTTTTGATATTTAATGCATTTAAACGTATAGACGATAGCTAGGGATTTCCCACATCTAGTCTAAATACCGGCATCAATGAATGTGAAATAGAATTTATTCTTTAAAGTCTTAAGAGTTACGAAATGCATGTACTGACTTTGATCGAAGATACTGTACTTCCTTTTACATCAACTTATCTCTCAGTAGCTGACTCGGGTGTAAAATTGATCCTTCTCAGAACATGCTCTTTTGTATCGAATATATTGGGAGTCATAAACACCATAAAAAAAACCGTATTTTTTTTTAATGAATCTTAAATGGATTTTCTGTTTGTACGATCTTGACTAGGAGTGTGTTTGGTCGACAGGGGATGCTGACTACTCTATGGTACCTGATCCAAACTTTGATATATTTTAAGTCCCTGTTAGTATTTTGAGCTTGATTTCCGTATGTTATATTCACATTTCATTTCAAACCATTTTAAAATGTATGTTCTACATTAAATATAATAAGTGAATTACACCGCCTGGCACAATGGCTTGAGCGGTTGTTCAAATGATGCGGAGACAGAAGTTGAACATTTACGTTTCAGTTTCGATCCCACTGTGGAACGTGGAGACCGGATATTCGCATGCCTAAAAAATCGGCGTCCCGCGTCTCAGTAGGTGCTAGCATGACGAAGATTCCTCATTGATCTGTGACGTCTCAATATAAGTAAAAATTTCTCAAAAGGAACTCATATACATGTAACCAAGCAAATGTAGATGAATTATAGTTAACATCCCTGACAATAAATGATTCAGACATAATAATTTAAAATAACAATATATTTTTCGTCATTTTGAAACTGTTTGTATGTTGCTTAACGTCCCTCTCGAGAATTTTTCACTCAAATGTAGACGCCACCACTTGCCGATGGAGAGCTGAAAATTTTGTCCCATATTCGGCACTCAGAGTCATTGAGCAGGGAGGGATCTTTTTCGTGCCAGCACCTACTGCGACAAGGAATCTCGGTTTTGACTTGAGGCTTGATGTCATTGATTTTCAAAATTTTATAAAGATTTCTGGATTTCTGGGCATATAAAAAAGAATATGGCTTTTGTGTCATATATATATATGTCAAATAAGCAGTTGGTAAAGAAATGATTTTTCAGCCATTCTCCAATTCCAGCTCTAAATAAAAAATTGGTTTGTTTCCATATTTGAAACTAAATATATTTACATGTACACCCAAAAAGAAACCATCTTCTTTCAGAAGATCATGTACAAAAACTATATTATTTTCAGACTACTTCTTCTAAAAAAGTTTTTTTTAATACATATCATCCTGAAACCGCCACCCTTTTTTCAGTTTAAAGATATTACGTCTCATTACAAATGAACAAAGATATTTTCTTAGATGTGAATCAGAGGGATTTGTACAATATCACTATATTTTTGCTATATCACTAGTATATTTTATTAATATGTACGCCTGGCATTTTTGCAAAATCTTTAACTTTACCTAAACTTTATTGTAAAAAAATTCAACACCATCCAATATAAGAGAAGTGTCATCAGCAAGCAAAGAGATTGTCTTTTCTCCAATGAAATCAATACCTTTGATGTTCTCAATATTTTTTAATGCAATGAATTTAGCACATACAGCTGTATCAAGAATATGTATTTATGAGTTTGGCATTCAGTTGAGTGATATGATCCACCATTACGAATTCTTCCTTCATTGCCTTACGATGTCTGATAATGGCTGTTTTGGCCTCGGTACTGATCATCCGCACTATGATCGGTCGCGATCCACCACTCCGATTTCCGGGGACTAGTTGCATTGCAAGGATGTCCCTAGGGTCTACATCAAGATCAACTTTTTGTTTTAGAATTGTGCAAAAGTCCCTTTTAAGATTTTCCTTCTGCTGTTCAAGAATATGTATGGTGATGTTTGGCCCCCTCAAAGAAGTTTGAGGTAAAGCCATCAGAGCCAGGTGATTTATTTGATTTCATCCTAAAAATCATCTTTCCATTATCACATATCATTGCTTGTAGAAGTCAATTTCACGAAGACCTTGGATTTTACGCTTTAATTTTTCAACAGCCGTTCCTAGTGGGATACATATTACAGTATCAGGATGTGGGAAAATGTCTCTAGGTGCTCTTCCATACAACATACCGATGACCTCTAATTTATTTTCAAGTGATAAAGAAGGTTGGAATAAAAGAGCACCCGAATCACCTGGCGCTCCAAACAAGCGAACATGCCCTCTTCGTCGCAAATTTGGTTTAACAATAATGGCTGAAGCTCGTTCAGGGAAGTCTCGATGTCGGATTTCACCTGTTTCAATAATAATCCCTGTCGTTAAATCAGTGCACGCACCGCGTTTGTGAACTATGTCCTCAACTAAATCATCCAAATCTCTTCGAGAGAGGTCGGCTGGAGCTGGCTCGTTATGTACATCAAGTAAGAGTTTCTCACAATGGGAATCAATGATTCGAATTGTTTCTTTATCTATGTCGATAAGGGCGATGTCGTCGTGAATACATCTCATTTCTCGAAGATTAAACATGTTTCTACCAAGTTTAACAACCGAATTATTAATGTTTACAAAAACATTCTGATTTCCTCTGTTTAAAAAAGCATGTTGGCACGTTAATGCAGCCATTCTAGAATCATTTATTTTGACTAGACTACCAGTTGTTGCATAATCGTTATCAAAAAAGAACGAATCAGAAGATTGTTGTCTATAGACATATTTAGCCCCATGTAAAGGTATTCCATGATCAGCAAATGGTGTCATCTCAAAATCGGATTGCACAATTATGTCGACCACAAAATTTCCAACATCAGAGAAATTTCTAAGCAAATCTTCTTTCACTTTCTTATCGTTAGTGACGATTCTAACTCCTTTTTTATTGAATCCATGATAGAGAATCTTTTCTTCATAACTGAAATTAATCAAAAAGTTAGTTTATATCTGAGCCTAAGTTTGCTTTTGATGCAATTAACCAGAGGATATTTGAAAGCCTTTTTGCTAGTTGTGGAATAATTATTTAGATATCTAATTGATATACCGCTGCTTGTGTCTACTGTGTGAGAGAGAGAGAGAGAGAGAAAGAGAGAGAGAGAAACCTACCGTTCAATTATTTTCATTATTTGCTCTTTATTGTATGGCCTTTCAACCATATGTTTTTTTGGAAAATAGTGTGCTTTTCTAAGCCTTTCTAATACAGCCCGAACTTTTTCCAAACTTTCTTCTACACCTTCCATCGATGGTAAAGTAGATAACTGTCTTTCAATGTCACAAAGATAATTATTTAGTTTCATTTCAAGTGATATTGTCAGATGGTGTTTGACTGTTATGCTATGCTTGGTTATCGGAAAAACTCTTGGAATTCTAAATTGTTTAGTTTTTTGTATCATAGTTGAAATATCTTTCACTGAATCTTGCTTGGTATCCATTTGCATCACAAGATATAATTCAGCTTCCTTATATTGCAAGTCTTCGGAAATCTTAATGAAATTTAATCCAACAATTTGACAACTGATATACAATGTACTAGTAATGAATGTATTTCGTAGTCAGTGCAAATATAATTTGTGGTTTGTTCCTAAAATCAAAGGTTAATATTGCAAGAAATATAAGTAATTTCTAATATTGCATGTAATCTGTTTCTGATATGTAAAAAACATACAATTAACCTACATTTTTAAATCTAATTTTGCAAATTGTAACTGAATATCTACCTTGTCTGTAACTTTTAAAAGGCTGGTACAAGGGCTCTTATATTTCACAAGTGCACCACTGCATTTCACTAAATACCTTTCTTTGGCTACCAATATATTTGACCTTACAATCGACATTGGGGTTTAACATACTATTGAAAATGTTTAATCCTGACAATAAAATGTAAACAGTTGGTGCAAAAGCTTGAATATCATTCATGATTCATGTGTCTAAAACAGCTTAGTGAATGTGTTTAGGAAATTCTTTGGAATATTTGTAGAATACTCAAGAATATTTTATTTTAAAACAAAATTACCGAATTAAAAATCGACAGAAGATTTTCTAATTTATCCATGTCGCTTTCTGTCAAAAAATATAGCAAAATGAACTCTGCTTCGGCAACCATTCCTGTTGAAAAAAAGAGAAGATATGAAAAATAAGATGTGTGTGTCAATTTAAGACTTACTTCGTTTATATCATTTTTCAAAGGATGTCTTACGGGCTTCCTGTTTTCATTAACTAAATACAAATTAAATCAAGATGTTTTTGACAATGTCTCTATTGAATTTTTTGTTTGATTTCAACCTTATCTTAAAGGAAACGTTTGGTCTAAAAAAACTTTTTGATATTTCATTCATTGAATGGTCAATAATGAATTTTACCTGTTACTGCCATTTGTTTTAACTTAATTATATAGTAATAAGACATCAAAGTTATGAGTAAACTGGCTGATGGAGGCTGCCATGTTGAGAGATAAAGTTATCGCGCTTGCTAAATATTTCCCACAATCCTCACTTTTATGACGTATTGCAGGCAATTCCGCTCCAAGTGTAAACACTATCATGGCATAATCAAGTTGTGAAAATGTGCCAATTAAGTGTGTGCATTTTAATTTTGGATATGAATATATTATAGTAAATATAATTTCACATTCCTATGCTTCTAGTGTTTCAGAATTTAGGAAAATAAAAGAAGGAATTAATAATAAAAAGCCATAAACTGGTTGGATTTAACCTTAATTAAAAACTTAGCTGCAAAGGTTGTATTATTTTACAAGACTTTAACTAAAACTTTTTAAAGTTCTAATGTGTCCAAAAAGGATGTTAATTTAATTGCTATAAATTAACAATTGCTTAGATTAACTTATATCTGAAAGAAGGGATTTTATTTTTCTGCAGTCATAAACACATTGACTCTTAGCCATCTGGCATTTAATCTGTCTGCACTACGTCAGCAGCGGCCATGATAAGGTTTTCCCCATGCTGCTCCGATTAAGCTATTAAAATCCAATTTAACTGCTGTTATCAGCAGCGCAGTCTGGTTAGATGCAGCTTTTCTTTTTATATGAGAGGTACAGTTTTATATATAAAAATTTTAATTCTGACCAAACGTTCCCTTTAATAACGAATCAATGGATTAAAATTCTATTGCATTTAACTGAAATGGGAAATGAATCCTGAATTAACTTTCAACCAAATGTATGTCCCCTTTTCATTTACTTCCTATAAATACGTTCATCTAGTAAGCTGTTGATCAGGATTGCGATTCTGTCAGTTTTTTTATCATCTGCATAATTCATAACTTTTATGAATTACACTATTACACTAAACATTTTCACTTACAGTTCACTGGGTATCTCTCATCTCATCCCTTACTTATGAAGCTAATAACCTTATCACCTGCTTATATGCAAAAAAAAAATGCTCTATGTGTTTTTCTAAAACGAGGCAAGCAATTGACAAACAAGTTGATGTAATAAAGAGGTATATAAAATCTTGTATAAAGTCATCATTTCATACGGTTTTATGGCACATACCATGACTTTGTCAATAAGAACAAATTATTAATGCTGAATGACGTTCTTTTTGAAAAAAAAAATGATTTGCTAGACCATGCAATTTTACACGGATTTTTATGTTTGTCGGATCATGACAAGGGTAATACGGCAGGTGTGAAAGATAGACAGGGAATACTTAATATCCAAGGCATCTGATTCCACTTCTGATATTTTAGAGGTCCATGTTTCCTGATTAGTATTGTTTGAAAGGATTTTTGAGGTTGAGTACTGTTCACAATCTTCATTTTTCATACAATAATAAATGTTATGAGAAGTTTGTATTTAACCTCATAAATACCAATGTGATATTGAGTACATATGGCAGGGATGGAGTAATCGTAATCAGCTGTAATCGATTACAATTTGCCAAGTAATCAGGAGTAATCAGTAATCACCCATTTTTCTGATTACAAGTAATTGTAATTTAATCGATTACTCAGAAAAAAAAGTCCTGTAATCATGATTACTTTTTGATTACTTTATGATTACAATATTAAAACAAAGCTCATAAAATCATGATTTTGGCGATATTCAGTGAATATTTTTCAGTGTACAAATTTATTTATAAGCAAAAGGTATTATAAAATTGTAGGCTTTATTTAATAGGCATCTTCTTTTAATGCTTCAAGAAATGCTCGTGATCAGGTATATTGTCCAGACAATGAGTAAATTCTATCAGTTCCTAACAAAACTGAGTAGTCATTTTAAAATATAATTAAGCAGCTTAGCAATTCGCCATTTTTGACTAGATATATGTATATAAGAAAATTACACAGGATCATTTTAAAGTTTGTTTTTTTTGTTTCAATTCATTGTGTGCATGTACATACGTGTGTAATGCAGCATTTTGTTTTCTCCATAAAAAATGTTTTTGAATAAACGTGTATTTTTTTTAGATATCAAATGTTCCTTTACAATGTATTGAGATGTGTATTCTAAAAATCACTTTGTTTGATTTTCAATGTACATGAAAAGATATGCCTTTGTGAGTTAATTACACGGTAGTAATAAAACACCAGTATACTAAAGTTGGGTAATAACAACTATTGAACTATCCACGCTTATCCAGTCAATGTGCTAACTCTTGTAAAAACATTTACTAATACGCAAGTTTCGAGATTATCTCCCTTGGTTCGCTCTTTCGTTGAGGAGGGGAGTTTCGTTGCAGCGTAAACAAACAGGTGGGACAGATATTTGATACTGTGTGTATTGGATACATTGCATCATCGATATACCGCTTTATCATAACTACGCGATTGTCAGGATGCACTCTGCAACTTGAGAATAACCGAATTTAAGTAAAGACATCATTTTTTACAGCAAAAAATCGAAACAGAAAAGAAAATATCAGTGGATCCGGTGTGAGACTTTTCGGACGAGGGAAGAGATATGCCATGGAATCTAATAAATACGGTACACATGCATCTGATCATTGCACATCGGGAATCTAAATGACATATTGATTCTTTTCCTTATTATAACTTAAAAACACCAACTTTTTAGAAAATCTTCGTACAATCAAGAAAATCGGTTACTTTTATAAAGACTACGACGTTTCTTTCGTTTTCAAGTACCCGGAAATTGATAGTTGATTTGTAAATATGCATAGATGAGCTTGATAAAATCATCTAATGCATCACTGCTTAACATTATCATCTTTCTATAACATTTAATAAATTTAAAAAACCATCAATATGGTTCTTTTATTTATGCACGTTTATATACAGAGACAACCTGTCCCACCTCCATGCTGAAATGGGTACTTTTTACCCCTCTATCGTAGGAGAGTTACAATCTCGAAACTCGCGTATTGGCAGCTTATTTGAAAAATTCATCACTCATCAAGGAGGTCAATTACTGGTGTGACCGTTCTCTATCGAATCCCTTTATGCAAACTATAATTATGTCCTGTTTAATTTATAAATTCTTTTTTTTAACAATAACACATATATTTACTTGTATATTAAAGGACAGAAAACAGATGATACAAGATAAATCTAATGCATTATTATTTAAACATGTACCACCAAACTTTGTTTTAAAAATATATTAATGATATTAAAAAAGAAAAAGAATAAGAACGTTCCGTTGTCCTTGAACATTAAACAAAAAAAAAACTTAATGTAATCTAAAGTAATCATAAGTAATTATGATTACATGAAGGAAAAGTAATCAGATGTAATTGATTACTTTAAAAAATGTCTGTAATCAGCTTGTAATCGATTACTTTTAAAATCCAAAGTAATTGTAATTTAATCGATTACTTTTGAAAGTAATTGACCCCATCCCTGACATATGGTAAATATGGCAAATTGAAGGTATGCTTTACCTTTAGCAAAATCTAAGAAGCATTTTTCCTCTGCTTGTTTTGAATATAAAAGTGACCTGCTCTCTTCACTCAAGTCACCTCCAACTACTACCATGCATTCCTTCATTGTGTTCACTGTAAAACCTTTTATCATTTCCAGCCCCTCTAAACACCAGTGTACTAGCCATTTATGGTATGCAAACCGAGGCAAACAACTGTGTACATCTAAAACTTGAAAAAATAGAATAAATAAAATTGATGACACGTGTTTTAGAATTATAACATGTTCTCTCAGTAAAAATATCGTTTTTGAATACTAGTAGCCAGCTTTTACAGTGAAAACGGAACGTGTATTCATACATTGTAACTTTAAAACAAATTTATCTATAATAAGAATAACTAAGCAACATATTTGAAAATACTTGTTCAGCAAGTATTTATCTTATCATATGTAATTTTTTGCTAATCCATTTTAAACATATGGTCAATAGAAATGGATTTTTAATATGTTACTTTTTTTTAGTATGTCCTGTATAATCTTTTTCATGAGTCAAACGAGTTACCTCGAAACTTGTTGTCTATACTATGGTATTCACTGAGATTAACATATTCGGAGTCCTCCTACGAAAGAAATTTATTTAAAAATATTTATTTTGAATATGTTCCAATTCCGTTATTAAAGTTTATCCAATTAATTACCACATATAGTTCTAAAAACGATTTATTTTATATGATATGAAGCACTATAGTATCCCAACCACAACAGGATTTGGTTAACATACGTATACTGTTTTATTTTCGCATTCAAAGGCATACACGAATAATCCTAGTTGTAGATTAAAATATACTTACTTCCATATCTGAATAATCGGGATCTGGTTCCCATGAAGACTGTATGGTTTGTATGAAATGTTTAAAAGAACATACGGTTTAATTTTTTTTTTTTTTAAAAATATAAATATAGCATGAAAGTTTAAACTTTGAAATTTGCCTTATTATATTAGCAATTAGTAGCAAGATCAACAAAAACATACAATAAAACCCATTCAATAAGAATGACAAGGAGATAAGGCAATTGACAGGGGACGCTTTCTCTTCAGTGGCATCTAATCCCACCTCTGATGTTTTAAGAGGTCCGAAATTGCTCTACATATAAATTTTATTACAGAGTTTATCATTATACTTCTGAATTTGATTACTGTTCGTTATCTTTAAATTCATAATAGAAAAAGTATGAACTCACAATATGTTTCTCCCTTGGTTTTGCAGCGCTTTGGACCTGATAAAATCCCTTCAATAGTTAAGTAAAAGTAAAGAAAAAATTATTAATTAGAATTATTCTATGAATTTGAAAGTGACAATGAGTTTTAAAAAATGGATAAACGTAAACAAGACAATTAAAAACTTCATGATTCTAAGACTTCTCACAAAAATGCATTTATATTTCAACTTGTATTAAAATTTCAAACTCAGTAGAAACTACATTGTAGAACGTCCAATACGTTTTCGCTAGAAAATCTGCGAATAATTTACTAAACTGACGAAACTGAGATAATGTGAACGAGATGCAGCTTTACTGAAAGAATACAGGTAAGCAAAGAAATTTTCAGGTTCCATAAAAAGAACAATATCTTGATAAAATTTCACAAGAAATAAAGATCCTTCTCAAATGCTTTTTTCGTACAGTAATATTTATTGTGATTATACTCCTAATATACTCCTAACATTCAAAATATTTATCAATTTTCTATACGTAGCTTTGATGATTGGTATTAAAAAAATCGCTAAAAGAATTCTAAAAGAAAATTATTTGATTAAGATAATTTTGCGTAGTAAATCTCAAAGTTATCCCCAAAAGTTTTATAATTGTTGTTTGTTTAACGTCAACTTTGATGATTTTCCCACTCATATTTAGAAGACTTTCCTTTCTGTTTGAGGGCTGCAAATTCAGACCTGTACTTAACAATCAGGATCACGGTGAGTAGTGGGGAATCTTTTTCGTACTAGCACATACTTCAACACAGGGTCGTGGTTTATACGGTCTCATCTCCATCTCTCGCAAAACGATTCTCGAAATGAACCCGCAAACTAAGACTCTGCGACTCTAGAGAGGACGTCTTTATCACTGCTCCACGTGTACGATTTTGTTTGAGGGCTGCAAATTCAGACCTGTACTTAACAATCAGGATCACGGTGAGTAGTGGGGAATCTTTTTTGTACTAGCACATACTTCAACACAGGGTCGTGGTTTATACGGTCTCATCTCCATCTCTCGCAAAACGATTCTCGAAATGAACCCGCAAACTAAGACTCCGCGACTCTAGAGAGGACGTCTTTATCACTGCTCCACGTGTACGATTTTGTTTGAGGGCTGCAAATTCAGACCTGTACTTAACAATCAGGATCACGGTGAGTAGTGGGGAATCTTTTTCGTACTAGCACATACTTCAACACAGGGTCGTGGTTTATACGGTCTCATCTCCATCTCTCGCAAAACGATTCTCGAAATGAACCCGCAAACTAAGAATCAAATCCATACTCCGCGACTCTAGAGAGGACGTCTTTATCACTGCTCCACGTGTACGATTTTTTTTAATGATTGAATATTTTGTAACAGAATTAATTTAAAAAGAATTTTATTTATTTTATCAAAATCTGATTCATGTTATTATAAATTTATGTTCTTCATCATAATACAGACTGGAAACCTTGTGACGGACTCTGGCAAATACATGTACATGTACTTCAAAATTGTGGTTTAGGTTGACTAAAAATCCTGTGGAAAAATATTAATTGACTTTTCTTATACTAGCATATGAATTTCGTATTATGTGGGCTGAATTTTTAAATACAATTTAAATGAAAATAATTTATTCTTGAGTAAAATAAGTGATATTTTCAGTAAATAAAACGTTAAGGATGATATTTGAGATGAGTTCTTTAAAGGTTATTTTCTGTCTAGTCCTTGTGGCTATTCAATACTAAATGTATTAAAGATAGCTGAAAATGTCTGTTCCCTTTGTATGATTTTTGTTTCAAGTTGCACAGGCTTAAGTACATTCATTAACAAGGAAACATTCCTTTTCATTTGAAAAACAATGTAGGGAAGAAAGACTTGCTTGAAATATCAGAAATTTTGAAATGTTTAATTAGGTAGATTCAGTTGCCCATACCTCTGCTCCAGGATAATCTGGTTTTGGAATGAAAAATGTTGGAAATCTATTCTGAAAGGTAAAAAAATTGCATATAAATCTTTTCCCTTTATTATATCTTGCTTTGAGGATGTACACGTTATAATGAATATACCTGTAAAATCATCTTAGGACTATATACATATAATTTAGCACAGATTATTAAAATACACTTTTTAAGCATTTCTATTTTCGGCTACACATGTTACAACAAGTTTCACTTTTTCCAGCCAACGGATTAATGGTAAAAAAAAAATATATAAATGTGGGTGTGTTGGGACGTTGTTGAAAAAAAAGTTAAGGGTTTCCTAGATCGAATATTGTATTATGATTATAATTTATTGTAAATTGAACGTTCCATTGATTGATGAGCCAATGTTCAAGAAATCTGTACAAGTCTTATGCTTAGAGGTGTTAACTGGCTGAAAAACAACATAAAGGAGATATAAAGGAGAAAACATATTCAGTGGATGTAAAGATATGTAAACATAACAACTCACTACATGTCTTTTAACATGTGGATATACTGGAATCGTTTGCTGTAAAATAAAGAAGAAACATGAAACATATGTAGATAACGAACAGTATTCAAGATCAAAAGTCCTTAAGTTACAATGTCGTGAAATTATCTTTTCATTTACTTTGTGTTTCTTAGATTGATTTTTTTGGTTAAAATTGAGAATATATAAATATTATTTTACAAGAAATAAGTGAAATTAATGTGTATCACATAACTTACACCACGCGTGTTTGAATATGGATCTGCTCGATACTCTTGCTAAAGAAACGAAAAAAAAAGTTATAAAAACATCAGATATCGATGAATTAATCTCGCACTAAATACTGAGTATATCATATAGCAATTGTGTATTTCTTCATTATTTCTTTATCTTTTAAAAAATCAAACCAGAATTTAAAATAATTACGAAGTAGGGATATCTAACCTTTACATTCCAGTTCGCAAATTCTGAAAATCTTTTCTCCTAAAAAATAGAAATGAAAAAGTTCTTCATGAGTTTAAGTGGACCAGTATCTTTGTCGTATGTTTTGAAAGCAAATTGGAAATAATGTTTGCTCTTTATGCATTCCAAAAATATACATTACTGTTGAATAATTGAAAGTAAAACATACTTTTTTATCGACAACTAATAGTGTTGATCTGCCAGAGGAAACAGAAGCATTGATTGAAATTGAACCCTACAAAAGTTTGAAATAGATGCCATTATTGAAGCAATAGCAGAATTTAAAGCCAGGTGTGAAAAAAAGGACATCAATCAGCCAAACTGTTCATGAAATTTATTAGGACCCGACACTCTTAACCAAATTATGTGACATTTTTTAATTTTAATTTTGATTCATACATCATTATATAGTAAAGAGTGTTTCGGCGGTTTTTAAAAAAACGGCTATATGCCCTAAGGCCCGCCTCATCAGGGGTCCACCTTAGCAGTTGTATTCTTGTGGTAAACGTGATCTAATAATCATATCTCCTATGCTTTTGTGCTTGCTATATGCTACAACTGGTTCCGATGTAAATATTTCTTTGCATCTTGTGTCTGTTTTCATTTCATTCCAATATTTTAAGATGCGTCTTTTTAATCCTTTGATTCTCGGATTATATTTTGTAACCATAACTAATGGATTGCAGAGTTTAGATTCACTGTTGTTTTTGTTTAGCATCTTATTTCTGTCCGTTCCAGTTACGTCTGTGAAAATAGGGTCTATTTCTGTATCAGAGTAGCCTCTCTTTGACAAGTGTTTCTTGAAGTTTTGTAGAATTGTGCTGAGGGTTGCATTGTCATTGGTATTTCTCATATGTCTAATGCATTCTCCCTTAATGAAACCTTTGAATACTGCTGGGTTGTGAGAGCTTTCTCTGTGTAGATATTGAAAATTATTTGTTGGTTTAATGTACGACTTAATATCTAGTTTGTTGGATTCTTGGAATTTTTTTCCTTTGTACACTGTTGTGTCTAAAAAATTCACAGAATCAATTGAGATTTCAAAAGTGAATTTCAAATGCGGGTGGCATTGATTGCCAATTTGAAAGAAATCAAGAATCTCATTCTCAGACCCATTGAAAATAATAAAGCCATCATCTCTAAATCTGCCGTGAAACAAGACTTTATTGGCATATTGAAATTGCGCCATGATTGATTGAGTTATCTGGAACATTCTTATATCAGATACCTCAGGGGAAACAGTTGAACCCATTGCGCAACCGATTATTTGTTTGTAATATTTTCCATTAAACTCAAAATAATTATTTTCAAGTATGCACTTTAGAAGAAAGAGGAGATCTGAGACCTCGGGATAAGGCAGATCTGATAAATCTCGTTTGTAATTTCGGTAGGCCTCTTCAACAGCGCTTAATAATTCATCAAACTCCATGTTAGTATACATACTTGTAACATCATAAGTGATCAGTATGATTTGCGATGGTAAGCATAAGGCTTCGATTTTATTGATGAAATCCGTAGTATCCTTTATGTACGTCGATTGTTTTTGAACAATCGGGATTAGAAAATAATCACAGTAAGCACCAATCCTCTGTGTTGGTGTATCGCATTGTGAAATAATTGGTCGCCCAGGTGGTAGCCGTCTGAGGCTGCAAGTGCCGTTCATAAGGGCAGTCATGATTTTATCTTTGATCTTGTGTATTTTAGGGAGCAAGTATAAATGTCCGCATTTAAGGGACGAATCGCTATCACTTAGATAACGATATGTTTCTTTGTCTAAAGCTCCTCCAATAAACATATCAGATATTTTTTCTTGTATGGTATTACGTAAATGTGACAAATCAGGTTTTTCAACTTCAAGGTAGTGTTTTGATTCAAGTTGACGTAAAGCTTCAGTGACATATTTATCTCTGTCCATGATGACCACAGTGTTACTTTTATCAGCTTTTTTGATTACAATATGGCGATTGTTTTTTAATGAGACCAATGCCGCCCTTTCCTGGTTAGTTAAATTATCCCGATATTGTTTTATTGGCATAGATGATAATTCTAATTTGGTTTTGTCAATATAATTTTCAAGAGCACCGCATGCCTGATCGGGTTTATAACCAGTAGATGTTCTGAAGGGATGAAGTTTATTATTTTCCCCGGTATCAAAGAAGAATTTGCATCTGAGTTTTCTAGTTTTCATCTTTCTTTTTCTAGTTTCAGTTTGGTAAGAAAAGCATTATTTGAAGAATGTAAAATCTGCAATGGATTTTGGTAAGAAAATTTAAATATTTCAATGATGAAGACAATGCATTGAAGTAAACTATCTGATTACCAGCTTCATACCAAGTTACCTATTTATTGTTCAATATTAGTCAAAAAAGCAAACATGTAAAAAAAAAAAAAAAAAAAAAAAAAAAAAAAAAAAACCTGTACATAATAAAAAAGAAAAAGCAAAATTGCAATATGTTTTAAGTCATTAATGTTTTCTAATTTACGAATGCACTAATTTCAAGTTACTTTATTTTTCTAAGGAACGATTTTGTAGTGTATGAGAATAACACCCCCTTATAATAATATAATACAACTTGTCAGAAAAAGAAAATGTCTACTTACGTCTTTTTCTTGGGTTACTCTTCCTTTCAAAACATTTTTTTCTTCAACAAAAAAGTCTAAGTTTTTCTGAAAGAATTCACAGAAAGCGCAAAATTGTCAGAAGTTATCTACAGAAAATAATTTAAAGATAAAATAAAAGTTTATCACGAAAATTTAACCAAAGGTCTATCCAAAAAATAAGGATGAACGTTAGAGACTGTGCAGCTGACAAAAGTGAAGAAAAATGTAAACAAACGCTAGGCTCCTGGCTTTCTCTATATACACAGGTTGAATCGATAGCCCAAAAACTGTATGAAATACTTGTTTACATTTAAAATAAAATAATTATCATTTTACTTGCTTATTTTATTCATTTTTATACATGAAAAGCAAGTAGAGCAGGTCATTTTATAATTTATGTACCGGTAGATATTATTGCGCCGTGTGATTAGGTCACATATTTACCTCTGACCTCTGACGAACTTCATACAGAATTGAAGATATTTTCTCTCTGTATGTTTATATAATTACGGAAGCCCATTAGTGCCAACCTGTATATATAAAGGAAAAGCGATATATAAAAGCAAACCTCTATATATAAAGAAAATGCGATATATATAAAGAAAACCTCGATATATATAAAGAAAATGCGATATATATAAAGAAAACCTCGATATATATAAAGAAAATGCGATATATATAAAGAAAACCTCGATATATATAAAGGAAATGCGATATATATATAAAGAAAACCTCGATTTATATATAAAAGAAATGCGATATATGTAAAGAAAACCTCGATATATATAAAGGAAATGCGATATATATAAACAAAACTTCGACATATATAAAGAGAAAAATTTCCACTGCCTGACCTTTAACATGTTTAATGACCTACATTACAACAGAGATTCGCCAACATATGATAAGCAGCTCCCGGTCCAATGTTTTGATTGCAATCAGTTGGTGTGGCTGTTTCAGGATGGTATTCAGCGTGTTGTGTTTTCTTCCTTTGTGTATCTTGATAATTATGACAATTAAATCTAAAGCTTAAACACTCTGGTCTTCTTACATTTCAGACGTGTTGGGCAGAATTACACCAATGAGTGACTTTTCGGCTTAAAATGTATATTACATAGTACTAAATGTTGGGGGTCTTTTTCAATCGAAATATAATTCGGTGCAAAAATACAAGTGTGTTTTATCATTTTTTATAAGTTCTTTTAACGTTTTACTATGTTTTTACATGATGTAGATTTTCAAATCGATTTAATTTATGATGTGGGACAAAAATCCACAGTTTAATTATGTAAGTCTGCATGCACTAACTCGTTTCTTTTTATCTATTAACAAATACTTTATTTTTTTTCACACCAAAGGACCCTTACATTATTACATATACGGTAAAAGTACATGTCACATTCTTCCCTCATATTCAAATGAAGTGGGCATCTCTCCTCTCTCTCCCATACCGATTCTTTTTTTTTTTTTTACAATCAATGGGCGTACTAGTAAATTATTTTTATAATGAATTTAAATAGATTTGAATTAGGGCATTAAAAAGTACTTGTTAAGACTCCACGTTCAACATTATATTTTCATAAATTCTCGGTTGTGAAATCAAAGTTAGTAAGTTTGGTAAAAAAAAAAAAACAAGGTAGGTTGTAAAAAAACGAAGTTGATCAAAATACATGTAAAGCCAGTATAAAACACAGAAAATACGATACAATAAAACACAGAAAATACGATACATATGTTACATTAACAGTTTAAATCTAAAATTTAAACTTATCTAGCTGTAACTATCTAGATAAGTTTAAATTTTAGATTTAAACTTTTAATGTAACACATATACTTAATTATGAATGCATTTAATTAAATGCTCATCTTCTCAATTAAGTGCTTTATTTCAAGTAATGTTACAATGTTACAGTTCATTGATATCAAATAAACACTATTAAATGGCAACATTTTGCCGATTCTGGGAAAGTTCTGAGTACTGTATAACTGATTTCCCCCTGCCAGGAGTTAATCTGTATATAATCTTGATGGACAGCTGAGTGCTACAGGTCACGCAGTGGAAAATTTTCTCTTTATATATATCGCATTTCTCTTTATATATATCGAGGTTTTGTTTATATATAGCGCTTTTCTCTTTATATATATCGCGGTTTTGTTTATATATATATATATATCACATTTCCTTTATATATATCCAGGTTTCGTTTATATATATAATCGCATTTCCTTTATATATATCCAGGTTTTGTTTATATATATTGTATTTCCTTAATATATTGAGGTTTGCTTTTATATATTGCATTTCCTTTATATATAGAGGTTGGCACTATGTACATAATGGAGAGATACCACAAATGTATATATAGAGTATTATCATATGCTTATGATATTTTACATCAGGAACAATAATCAATATGCCTAAGTAAATATTACTTACACTCATTATAAAGGACACAGCAGTCAACCAGTATCAACAATCATCTGCAGTGAAAAAAAATCATTTTCTTTTAACATTTAGAAAAAAATGAGAATAATCCCTTCCCTTCTGTTCTTTATCAGCAGATTTTCCCAAATATAATATATAAAATTAAGATAAAATAAGGTGACTCCTCCCTACCCCAAAACATCAAGATCTGAATAAAAATGAATCTGAGGAAGCTTTCGTTTATACGTACTTTGATCGCCCATAGTGGGTTCACCTACTCTCGAGGGTTATGATTTGGACAAATTTGAACTTTTTGTTGATTATTTTGTCTAAATACGTCACATCATGATTTTGCTGTTCTTGAAAAGAGGATTAAAGATTTGCTTTCTATTTTTTCTTTGAAAACGCTGATCGCTTTGTTTTTCCTATACTACCCCGTTTTAGTCATAATTTGAACAAATCTATACCACCTGAGGATCTTTTCAAAGTATTCATATGTAAAACTTTGATAACCGTAAGTGGCCCTACCCTACTCCTAAGGGAATCATGATTTAGACAAATGTGAATAAACACTATCTCCAGAAGATTTCACTTTAGCTTTATTTATTCCTTTAAATTCAAGGAATTAATGTTTTTAAGTTTAGTGTGAATTTTTGGTGTGTAAATCACTCAGACTTGCACGTAGGCAATTTAGGTATTTTTCATAAGGCATAGAGGGCTTCAGGAATATACCTATGTGATAAGTCTGTATGATTAACACAGTAATAACTCACACAAAACTTAAAACATTCCTCAAATAACATAATGGAACCCCTAAATAAAATTGGCGAGCAAAAATATTCATATTAAATGAAAAAATCAAAAGACTACATTCAGAGGGAAAAAAGAAAAGACTTCTGATTTCCCTGGATTTAAATATGCTTTGATTTTTAAGGATAAGCACAAAATTGAACCCAATTATCAAAACGCACAATATATATATATATATATATATATATATATATATATATATATATATATATATATATATATATATATATATATATATATATATATATATATATATATATATATAAATCAAATAACGGATTTTATATTGTTTTAAATCTAATAAACATTTACCAGTACGTAATTCCTCTAATTCCCCAGCACATTTAATAGCCTGTGAATTATTTTCTAGTTATCTTCTAGTTTTTGTCTGCTATGAAAAGTATTATACGTACCTGGTTTGAAGAAAATTAACTGTTCTTGGCCAGTCAGTAATGTAATCTAACACTATTTGAACATGATGATCAAAAAGGTGTTGTTCTTGAGGCACCTAAAGTATCACGGTGCATTTCATGCACACTGCTGGAATTCTTGTGGAAAATCAATAGATAAAGCTATAACAGGTAACTTTGCAAAACAAAATATTAAATACCATGATACACTTGAAAACTTCTTTGGTTGAATCCTTTTGTGAATCCCCCCCCCCCAAAAAAAAGTTCAAAAACATTCGGAGTATAATAGGAGTATGTCAAATACTATTGTGCAGTAGACCTAGACTTGAAACGATTGACTACTTAATAACAATAAAGAAATAACAATTAAGAAATGACAATAACAATGATTAATATCAATAAAGAAATATCTACCGATAATCGATTGCCTTCTTTAAATGCATGGCTTACACAAGTGTTGTCACATTTCTTAAATGTACTTGTTACTTAATTGTACTGCAGTATACATATATTTTACAGTGAAAAGACTCATTTCCTTTTGCAGAACGTTTATACCAATAAAAGGGTCCCATCAAGAGATAATTGTCCTTCTATATATTTAAATAGACACGCATTTATGTATTTGAAAAGAAATTTTCAAGGTAATCGAAGGCGTAGAGTTACCAGTGCATTTTCAGTACTGTTTAATTAATACATGTATCTTGTTGGCATGACTATAATGTCAGTTTTAGTGCATTTAAAATGCTTAAATGCCTTATGTACTGCATACAAATCAAGAAGGAATGTAAATAAAGGAAAACAGATGCAGACGTTTCAAGATTTGTTGATTTGAAAAAAATAATTTTCTTGGTTATCTTTGAATATAATTTCCGGAAAGTTTTTCAATATTTTCGGTTTTTAGAAGAAATAAATAAAATCAGTTTTGTATTGTCCCAGAATCTCACTATAATGCTATTGGCTTCTAAGATTATCGGTTATTGGAGTCGATTGTATGCAGATTATGCATCGTTTCTCGTTGTAATCTTGATACTTAAAGCTGTGCAAGATCGACGGTATAGAGCCAGATTTGGAGAGTAGACATCCGAACAGAAATACCATGACAAGGTATAATGTATTTTTATTGAGGGGTACCTCAATAAACCATTGATTAAATTATTCTGTATATATTGTAGTTTATGGTTTAATTAACTAAATGATAATTACTTAAGTTTTTTTCAAAAGTACATTAACGAGGTTGGCTCCTGATATTTAAAGTCTTAAACTTTTTTGTCAAGTATATTTTTAGTTTCTACACACACGGCTTAACTAAAAATCAAATTTAAAAAATGAGGTCAATATGCTTCTTTTGTCGCTACAGTACATTTAATATGAATTTTTGCACTAAAATTTGTGTATTAATCAAAAATTATATCTTCGAAG